CAAACACTGCCTGGGACCTTCAGCTTATCAGTTCTGCTCAAAACAACTTGGCCAAAGCTGAGAAACTTTAGTCCCATCTGAACTTTTAATTCCTAAGAATGTTTTTTAAAAATACACTTCCCTTTGAGGGCATTGACTTTGTCTTTTATGCCATTTTATGTCAAATCTAAGTAAAAGATTAGAGTAAAGTTTTAATAAGATCAGAGTGTGTGTGTGTGTATGTGTTTTAATTTCTGAGGCATATAAGATAACCATTATGATGAAGAAAAAAGTAGTTATCTAATTAATTTTAAACTATTTCAGTTAAATGACTGAGTACCTTGCATAAGGTAAAATGATATACAATATTCTATTCCTATTGATTGAAATTGTTCAACTTCATTAAGAATAAGTAAATAATGGAATAAATAGTCGTGTTACTACCTCATGCAGCAAGCAACTCACTGAGAGAAAATTGTATCTTAATCAACTTCTTCATTTAGATATAAACTGCTGAGACAACATTGCCATCTAGTTGTTGAATACTGAGTGTATTGTTGAAACATTCTTGACAGTGTTCAATTTCATTTTTACGTAACCATTCAAGAACACACAGAAACTCCCAATGACATTTCCTTCCTAAGAGTGTGAATGTGACTGCCACAGTGCAGCCTACGCTGCCCCTGGTAATTAATTACATGCCTGAACCCAAGCAGGTGATTGTGTATCCTGTAACTACCTCATGCTCAAGGCTCTCCCACCTCTCTCTCTCTCATGCTCAAGGATCTCCCATCTCTCCCTCCCTCTCTCTCCCTCTCTCTCTCTCTCTCTCTCTCACACACACACACACACACACACACACACACACACACGCACGCGCGCGCGTGCGTGCTCCCGAGTGCGTGTGTGCGCAAAACAAAAATAAAACTGGATCCCTGTCCTGAGGAGTTAGTCTCATCAGGGAAACAAACAACTAAGCATTTGAATGCAGTGTAGTGGGTGCTATGAGAGCAGAAGTACAGAAAATATGTAAGCTCCAAGGAACACCAGCAGGAGTTGAAGGTTTAGGGAAGACTACTGGGAAGTTTATCTAAAATGAAAGCAATGATTAAGGAGATGAGATTCTGCAGTGCCCTGTAGACTTTTATTCTAGAAGCAATGGGAAGCTTTTGAAGGATCTTAAGCAAGGGAATGAAGTAATTAGATTTTAGAAATAATATTCTGGTTGCTGTAGGCAGAATAGATTAAAAGGAGATAAGATTAGAAGCAGGGAGACAAATTAGAGGTTGTTAGAGTGATTTAGGCAAGAGATGGTGGTACTAAACTAGGATTATAAACATGGAAATGGAGAGAAGTGGGTGGATTTTAAAGATGTTTCACAGATACAATAAGTGTGACCTGCTAAAAGCTAACTGTGAAGAATTAGGAAGAGGTAAATACCAAAGATGACTTCCATAGGCCGGGCGCGGTGGCTCATGCCTGTAATCCTAGCACTCTAGGGGGCTGAGACGGTCGGATCCTTTGTGCTCAGGAGTTCGAGACCAGCCTGAGCAAGAGTCAGACCCTGTCTCTACTAAAAATAGAAAGAAATTAGCCGGACAACTAAAAATGTATAGAAAAAATTAGCCGGGCATGGTGGCGCATGCCTGTAGTCCCAGCTACTTGGGAGGCTGAGGCAGAAGGATCGCTTGAGCACAGGAGTTTGAGGTTGCTGTGAGCTAGGCTGATGCCACAGCACTCTAGTCCAGGCAACAGAGGGAGACTCTGTCTCAAAAAAAAAAACAAAGATGACTTCCATGTTTCTGACTTGACAACTGAGTACATTATGGTACCCAAAAAGTGGAGGAGCATGTTTTGTGGAGATTTATAAAGTTCATTTTCACTCCTATTGAGCTGGAGGCACTCATGATATATTAAAGAATAGATACCTATTTATCATTGGCCAAATGGTGTGGTGCTCACTATAGAGAACCTGGTCTCTTAGGCACATAAATTATCATTGACACCACTGGAATAGATGAAAGGCAAAATGGGTCTATTTCAGGAAATGTGCCTAGACTGAAAATAGACATATACACAGAGTGAAAAGAATATACATAGCGAAAGGAAGATGCAACTGAGAAGGAATAGCTAAGGAAGCTTCCTACCTTCTCACTGCACCTCAGGCAGGCAGGCAGAACCTAACTGATGTTCCCTTGGGCGCCCACTGTTTTCCCTCTATGCATCTATCAAAGCACCCTTCATCTGTCATTGAATATACTTTTGTCTCTCTCCCTACTAAACCATAGGGATCTTATGGCAAGGATCATGTCATATTTATCTTTGGATTCCCAGGACTTAGCACAGTGCCTGGAAGATAGTGTTTAATAAGGCTTTTATTTCATAATTAATGATAGGAAGAATTTATTGAGTACTTTCTGTATTCTAGGCACTTTACATACAAGGTCTATTAAACCTAGTATATATTAAGACTCAGAAAATTTAAGTGAATTGCCCAAGAAGTTTCCAGGATTCAGACCCAGTTCTGTATGAGTCCATGTTTTTTTAATACTATATCATACTCTTTGCAAAAGACTGGTGAATGAAATCTATCTTTAACAAAAGATGAAAAAAAAAGGGATTGCATTTTATATAAAGCACAGGTACTGATCCTTATGCTTAAGATGCAGTCCTATAGAGAAAAATCCTTGGGTGGTGTCTCCTGGGATGTCTTCTACACACCATGTTTGCCAGATAGTGTAGCAAATCAATGGTTGCTGGTCTTAAACCATACGGAAGTCCAGCAGAGACTAAGCACAGCAGCCCCTGCAAGGATCCAGCAATTACCACTATACCATGGATCTAAAGACATCCCTACAAAAGATACGTCAAACACTGCCTGGGACCTTCAGCTTATCAGTTTTGCTCAAAACAACTTGGCCAAAGCTGAGAAACTTTAGTCCCATCTGAACTTTTAATTCCTATTATATTAATACTTGGTCATTGCTCTGAAAGCAGTCCCCTCATCCATCCATCAGTTTTCTCTCATTTCTTGTCTCCAAACTGCTCTGTGTACCTGACAGCACCCCCACCTCCAACAACATACAGTGCCCTCCCTCCATCCTTTCCAGTGTGGGATTGGGCGACCTATTCCACCATAAGTAAACTCACCTATACCCTCAGCTCTTTTGATGGATGTGTCTTCCATTTCCTTGACCTCCCTCTCAAAGACACTGCTTCCTTTGTAGTTTCCTCAAACTCTGTGTACCAGAAGGCTCAGAATCAGTATCACCATTTATTTTTTTTG